GGAAACGAGTTGAGCGACGACGGCGCCGATGCTGATCGAGGGCTGACGGAGGGAGAAGAGGGTGTTGATGCCACTTCCAATAATCGACAAGGTCATCCCGAGCACCCAGGCGCGGATAGTGTTGGCCGGCATCTCTTCGTCCCAGTTCGGCACTGCCGCCCGCACCTCCTCGTACGGAGAGTTCTCCTCGATCTGGCCTCCATTCGCGCGGCTCTCCTCCTCCCAGAGGCTCGAAGAACTGGTGGTTTTGAAGTCATCCGGAAGGTTTAGGTCCCATGCGGGCCGCGACAACCGGTTGCGCAATTCATCGACAGGGGAATCGTCCGGTCTGACTTCGGACGAGGTGACTTTGGCGGTGTCAGTCTTGGCTTTGACACCTTTCAGCGACGATTCCTCCGAAGAGGTCGAAGTCACCGAATTCTCAGTGATAATACTCGACTTCGGCCTGAGAGCCATCGTGGCAGGTATGAATTCGAAATGATGAGCAGAACATGCACACCTGTCCAAAAGGGCGACACTTATAAAGATAACACGAAGAGCGCAGCTCCTCGACAATTCAAAAACTAGCAGCCAAGGAACGCCAAATAGAAAGAATGCATAGATCTCCGATGCGAGCGGAGCTCGTCCACGAGGGCAACGAGGCAATATCAATCTACTGACCGTGTAAACGCGAGACTGGACTGGCTCACTTCCTTATCTCTAGCGACTCAGATCGACGAGAAGTATCTATCGCCTGTTCTTGGATGAGACGCTCGCGGACTATGCCGAGCCAGGGGCCATCTAGGGCGGCGAGGAGTGCATGAATTGCACGTGCCCATTTGCAACCGAGTCAGGCCTATCACCGCCACGCAATTGTGGCACTTGCGACCACGAACGATTCAAAAATTTGTGATAGCAATGTAGTTGATGGTGATAGCAAAGAAATTGTACTCGCGACAGAACATTTCCGGCCGGTCGCGCGGGCTTGGGCATGCCGAACCCCGGTAGGTCGAAACCAACAGTTTACCGACTATAGCTACGTTCGCGGAGAAAGTAGAGCGCCGATTAGAGAATTGAAAATTGGAAAGCAAGCTTACCTAGTACTTACGTTGAACTTCATTGCTGCGATCATCCGAAGGGAGATGGTGGATGAGCTCCGGGCTTGCCTCAAGATGCGTTTCAAGATGCGCGGGGGCCATCATGAAGTCGGGCTCGCGAGCGATGCTCTACCAGGGAACGAGGAGAAGCTTTCCAGCTCAATGGTGCTGTTGACCATTGCTCGCTTCCAGTGCGACCTAGTCTTGATCCCTACAGTATTACGATAGCGGACACCGCGGCCTCCATGTTAATTCCGACAAGCCCGCAACGCATGAAATCAGAGGTGCACGGAAAATCGGTAGCCCGTGCCAGCCGAGCTATGTCCAAAGCGATCTGAAGTTTTTGTCGCCCGCCGTCTCCTGGATATAAACAACTCCAAGGGACACTCCTGCTTTATCGCGCACTAGGGCGGTCGTTTAAGAGTGGCGCGCAGGACGATGGAGGTTGAGATCCTGCCTGGGCGATTCTCAAAATAACGAGAAAAGAGAACCAACTAGACAGGGCCCGCTCGTGTAGCAGAGCATGAAGTATTGGGTAGTCTCAATGAATCGCGGATAGATCTGCAACAAGACGTGCTGGCCCAAAAGACAGTATACAACAGGTTTCCGAAAGCCAAGTCTGGACGAAACGAGCATACGTGTCCAGAGATCCTAAGGACTATAGTAGGTCAGTGATGGACGGGGCAGCTGCGTACTGGCAGAGTCAGATTGCTGAACGGCAGACGGGGCAAACTGCGGTAAGGACTGATAACTGCGCTACGAGTTACAAATGGCAAGGCGCCGCCAGGCATGTCACGCCATTCGAAGGGTGTTGGTGTTTGCAATGTCGGGTTGCCGCAGTCAGCAGCCTGAAAGGACGCGTCACCCACAGACGGCACTTTATAAGCAAGACGTGTGCGATTCTAGCGGAAGGACAGAGTGTGGACGAAGAGGAAGATCATGTCCCGCACGACAATGCGAAGGAGGTTCGAATAAAGTTGGGGCACGGAGAACGCAGGTCTGTTCGGTAGAGCATGAAGGATTCTGTTTAGGGCCGGGGATAGGATCCTCCCGTTTTTAGGTACGGTGGCCGTTTCTTGGCGCTGTCGCATCACGTGTCCTGCATACAGCTCCGATATCAACAATCGGACTCAACTAGACGTTGTACTCTCCACCAAGCGCAAACCAGTCCAATCTCGGGGAGAGACATCATAGGTGAGTAATAGGCGACAATGCTATCAGCGCTACGGTTTCCTTATCCTTGTTCGCCGTTCACCGAATATCTTCACCCCCTGCACTGTGTAATCGCGTTCTACCATACTGGTAATTCCACCTGGGCCTAGAACCGGAAGTTGCTTGAATTGCGGCCATAAGCACTGTTCTTACGGTGACTAGTCATACCATTTATCAAGAAATAAAACTTAGTTCCCGTTGCTTTATCTTTCCTAAAAGTGGGCGCAATCATATCCAGCGTTGCGGGTCTCTCGCTTTGGTTCCGTGCGTAATGCCGTGCTGTCGCCGCCACCGCCTTCTTCACTCTACCCACTTCGGTTTCGAACGTCAATATCCCGACCGTTATTATCTTATTAACCTACTGAATTTTGATCGTAGTTCTCAGCGTCCGTCTACGCCTAGACATCTCATAGCTATGGTTCGACAAACATGGAAACGGTATAATCTCCTTTGGACTAAACCCTACGAAAGAGTTGGGCGAAATTTTCTTATTGGCTTCCCCGTATACTTGGGCTACAATTTTTCAACCTGTGGCAAGCAAGCTTAGACACTTTAAAAAGAACTAGACGCTTATACTTAGTTTTGCCAGGACATCACGGATGCAGCGGACCTGAATTGGTCGAGCGACCTAAAACCTTATTGACGTATGAGAAAGTAATAACGTATTCCACCACCGAGTCGCTCACTCCACCGAGTCGCTCAGAATTTCTTGGCAACCATCACCACCACTACTACGCGCGATGTTTCAACAATTACACATGGATAAAGCTC